TTCAAATTCTAATTCATTAGCAACAATCATTAATTTATAAATAGTATTGGCTTCTACGTTTTCAATGTTAACAATTCCACCATAGATATATCTACATAAAAAAATAGATGTCAATTATATTTGATTTTGTATTATATATAATGAAATACTATTTATATGATTACTTTAATAAATATTTTTTTTACTTAAGAATAATTTCGAATATTTGTGCAGAAATATTTGGTTTAATAGTTTTTTTAATATGAACTTCATTCGCAGTAACGTCCTTTGAGTCTAACTCTTTATCAAAATAAGATGAACGATAACGTAAGACAGCTGAGTGTGCAGTAAAGGATTTCTTATTTTCTCCTTTGTCAACTTCAATAATAATATTGTATTCTTTTTTATCATTAAGAAGTTCAGAAAAATCTTGAGATAACTTGTCAAAAAATTTGAAAGACATTTTTGATAGATTAAAAACACCATCATGATCAAATCGGAGTTTAATAAAACATATCGTTGTACAATCAACTAATAAATAATTATACATTTTGGAATTTGAAATTAATGTTTTTAAATTTACAATAGAAAGAAAATATTATTCAGTTGTTCTTTCTTGCCTTTAATAAAATCAAAAATCTTTTGATTGCAACGAAGTTCACAATACCAAACATGGGTAACAAATATTTTGAAAACCAGAACAGTTATAGAGCTCTGCTTGCTTTTGCAATAAAGGAGTTCAATGATAATATTGTATTCTTTTTTTTTCTTATGAAATTTCGAATAATCTTGAAAAATTTTTAAATACATTTTGATAATTGAAGAGTATAAATGATGCAAACTTATTTATATGTGATCAAATAATTAAATATCAATTGTTTTAAAAAAGTGATTACTACATAACATAAACATAGATAAACTCAATAAACTCACTCAAAATAGACTCAATAAACTTTTTTTTTTAAAAAAAAGAAATAATTTATCAATTTATTTCTAATAATTTACTTCTTTTAATTGAATTAATTTCGAAAATTGATATTTTCAATATTTTCAATATTAAAATATGTCAAGTCAATATCTAACTGATTCTTCGTCCATATACCGTTCAATTCCAACAACTTCAAATGATAATCAAAATTCTCGATCAATAACTACAAATCCTCCAAATTTCTCAAGAGATAAAAAAAGTATTAGTAGTAGTACGATAATTAATTCATCATTATCACCAAGTAAATCAAGTTTACCAACACGACGACCTCGTACATCTGCATCTACACGTGTTGGTCGCGGTGGTGAAAGTCATTCTTTTGTTGTTGCTGTGATTGAAGGTCGAGGTGGTGATTTAAAGAAATTTATTTTATCTTTCTATTAAGTATGAATAAAAATGAAAATTTAAATGTTTTATTAAATATGAAATATAAAGTTTTTTTTTTTTTGATGATATTATTTTGTAGGTATTGCTAGTGAAGTTGGAATGTGTTTTATTGATTTGAGGACAAGTGAATCTATTCTTTCACAAGTGATATTTTAACTTCCTTCATTATCTGAATGAGTTATATAGAAATTATTGATTCAATTCATTACTTTAATATTTATTGACAACCTTTTTTTTTTTTCGAGAAGATTTCGGATTCTAAAACTTATGTAAAGACATTACACAAAATGAATATTTATGATCCTGTAGAGGTTGGTTTTATCATTATTAATTTTTAATTTATTTATTTGTAAAGAAGAAATGTAAAAAAAAAAAAAAGATTAATATTTTAAAAAAATTTTATTACTAAAAGATATTACTTTCTGTAACATCGGTTGAACCTTCAAAATCGAAATTATGCAAAATCCTTGAAGATAGTATGCCATTCGCGACAATTGTTCCTATTGGAAGAAAATATTTTAATGATGCAATTGGTAAAATATAAATATATAAATATAAATTGAATAAATCAAAGATATTATTTTTTTGATGAGTTTATCTTTATTTTTAGGGTTGAATTATATAAAGCAAGTAAGTTCTTATTATATAACTTTATTATATATATATTAAAAATGGATCTTATCAATCTTATTTAAAACAATGAAAATTTAGTATGGTTTAGAGGATGATTCTGCTACCCTTATACTTGGCTTAACATCTAAGTAAAGTAAAATAATAATAATAATAACAATATTAATAAATTTTTTGTTCAAAATAACCGAATATTAAATAATATTTATTTTCTTCAGATTTTATTGCTTAGCGGCTACAGCTGCAGTTTTAAAGTAATTAATTTATTTATTTGTAATATTCTTTTATTATATCATTACATATTATTTATAAATTAATAACATTTATTTTTTGTATAGATATATTGAAAGTTCACAAAATATATTTTTTACAAATCATTCAATTAAATTTAAATATCAAGGATGTGAAGGTTAATCAATTAATTTATTTTATTTTATTTTTTCGCGTGTTATATGCATCAAATATTGAAGAATTACGTCTATTTACTAAATAGGAACGATGATGATAGGTATTTTATTTTTTAACATTCAACGAATCTGATCAAGAGTTTTTACGATATACAGTGAAAGAAGATAAATTATTTTTAAAAAATATTATAGATTGCGTAACTGCTAGAAATCTCGAATTAATATGTAATATTAATAGTCCACATAGTAATCAATCGTTATATGGTGAGCACTTATATTTTTAATCTTATATTTTTTAATTTTTAATTAATTGTTAAATAGGATTTAATAAATTTATTTGAAATCTATCCTAAATCTATCTTAAAGGTGTATTAAATAAGACATCAACTTCTATGGGAGGTGAGCAATGTCTTTAAAAAAAAAAATTTCGTAATAAAATTGATCGTAAAAAATAATTAAAAATTATAACTTTTAGCACGTTTATTGCGAACTAATATTCTACAACCTTTGAATGGTTTGTACCATAAAAAATAAAATTAATAAAATGTGAGTGATTAATTATTCTAATTTATAATTTTTTTCAAATTTATAGACGCAGTTACGATTAATACTAGGTTGGATTCTGTGGAAGGTATATTTCTAAGTGATTTTGAGTTTTTTTTATTTTCCAATTGATTTACAAAATAATTGTATTATTATAGAACTCACGCAGGATGAGGCAAGAATTAGAATTTTCAATTGTTATCAACACGAATAAACTTTACTAATTTAATATGATAAATATAGGAGAAATTTTTTTCGATACAGTCAGGTGTGTACATGAAAAAGGGAATAAAGTTTTGATATATTATAAAAGAATTTTTTTTCTTTAATAAATTTGTTTTTTTAGCTCTCAAACCATTTCAAGACATTGATCACCTGATCACGACCGTAACTATCTAATTTTTTTTTATGTTCAAAAGAATATACTTTCCATTTATTATAAATAAATAAATAAATAAATAAATAAATAAATAAATAATAAACAATTTATAGTTAATCCAAGTTCCAAGAAAGCCAACAATAAAGCATTCTGAACAAAGTATTAATAATATCATCATTCTAAAACATACATTAAAATTAATTCAAATATTAAAAGATTCTTTAGCGAGATGTCAGAATTCATTGATAGTCGCAATTCGCGAAGTAAATTTATTAATTCATTATATTTAATTATCTTATTATTATAAGTATTTGATTAATAATAATAAATGATACGCGTTTTGTAATGTTACAGTTACTTTCCGATTCAAGATTAATCACATTTGAAGACCTTATTAATGAAGTCATAAATAAAGACATCACTTATCAAAAAAGTTCATTGGGATTGAGAAATCAACGATGTTATGCAGTAAAGGTAAGAGAAAGCAAGAAATTTTCTCGCAATTTTATATTTATCTTCTTTATTTTATTTATCTAGGCTGGATTTAATGGTTTATTGGATGTCGGTAAGTGATATTATTTTTTTTTCAAAATAATATAAAAATATATATATAAAAATATATATATATATAAAAATATATACATATAAAAATAATATATAAAAATAATATAAAAATAATATAAAAATAATATAAAATAATATAAAAATAATATAAAAATATTGTTAAAATATATAATATTTTCTATTTACATTATCAGCTAGACAAACATACAAAGAAACAATTAACGATATTTACGAAATTGTCGAGAATTATAACAGTGAGTTTTACGTGCACGCAACAATTTCTTCAAGAAAATTATTGAATTTCTAAAAAATGAATTCTTACACATTTTACATATATGATTTTATAAAGACCAATACGAAATACCTCTAAAAATACAATTTAGTCCATCTACAGGATTTTATCTTTCAACTTCAACTGATGTCTTGAATGAACATCAACTTCCGTTAATTTTCATCAATGTTTGCAAGAAGAAAAAGATGTTAACTTTTACTACTCTAGAATTGGTAAAATGGATATTTTATATATTTTATATTTTTAATATTTTATTTTGATATTTATATTTATCGATATTATATATTTTTGAATTTATTATTCAGATAAAAAAGAATACCAAGATTAATGATTCATTAACCGAGGTTTACTTGATGTCTGATAAGTATGTTTATAAATAATAATTTATTAATAATTTTAAAAATAGGATTAATTATATATTGTTATTGTTATTAAAAATTAAATTAAATTTGAAAAAACAGAACGATCGAGGATTTAATATCAGAAATTCGTTGTAATATTGGTGTACTTTATAAAGTTTCCGAAGCAATTTCCATGTTAGACATGTTAACTTCTTTTGCTCATCAATGCACTATTTCAAATTATGGTAATTCATAAAATAATTTAATATAATAACTTCTCTTGTTAAATCTTACTTAATTTTATATTTATATAATTTTATTCAGTTCGCCCAGAATTTACTGATACTTTGGCCATAAAAAATGGAAGACATCCAATGAGAGAGTGCCTTTACAATGACCCATTCATCCCTAATGATACTTATGCAAATAATGCTACCAATTTTCAATTAATAACCGGTCCAAATATGAGTGGAAAAAGTACTTATCTTAGACAAATCGTATTAATTAGTATAATGTCACAGATTGGATCATTGTACGTAAAATTCAAAAAAAAAAGAACAATATTAATAAGTCAATAATTATTTTTAATGTTGTTTGATATTATTTGAATTTGACTAGTGTTCCAGCAGAATATGCGTCTTTCAGAATGACAAATCAGGTTTTTTTTTAAAAAAAAATTTTTTTTTACGTTAATAAAGTTAAATATTTTCTATTAATATATATATATATTTATTTTTGATAAAGATTTTTACACGTATTTGCAATGATGACAATATAGAAACTAATTCAAGTACTTTTATTGTTGAAATGCGTGAAACTTCTTACATCTTACAAAATATTACGAACAATAGTTTAGTGATCATTGATGAACTGGGAAGAGGTTAATAAAAGAAACGAATTAGTTGATATTTTTAATATTTTATATTTATTTGTTTATTTTTTTTTTTTTTTAAAAAAAAATTTTTTTCTTGTCAAAAATAAATTGTTAGGAACATCTACTCACGATGGTTTAGGTATTACTTATGCAGTTTGTGAAGAACTTTTGAAGACAAAGGTAAAACAAAATCGAATTTTCATATGTATAAAAAACCGTGACAATATAGAGATGTGACAATTATAGAGGTTTTTTTGCATAGCATTAAAAGAGGTGTGATTATATAGGAGGGGTATGACTGTTATTTACATATATATTTATTTTTTATTTTTTTTTTTTTATGTCATGTTATGAAAGGCTTTCGTTTTCTTTGCAACACATTTTCATGAGCTCACAAGATATTTAACTGTATATCCAAATGTAGTGAACTTACATTTGGAAGTCGAAGTAAAGTGAAAATTGTATTTTTATTTTTTTGTAATTTAATTTTCAACGATTATATATCAATTATTAAAAAATTCTAATAATTGTTTAAGATCGAAAATCAAAGTGCGATGAAATATTTGTATCGAGTAAAAGATGGAAGTAATGATGATGAACATTATGGTAACGAATCTACGATTAACCTGAACCTGATCTGTACATCTTTAAAGAATCTGCGATTAACCTGATCTGAAATATTTACGTATATCTTATACAATATAGGATTAAGGGTTGGAAAAATGATTGGATTACCTAATGATATTATTGAAATAGCTTCAAAAATTTCTTATAAAGTAAACCATTATTTATATCCATGTAACAAACAAATAAATCATCCCACAATGAATCATCCCACTTTTTTTTATTTTTTAGTTGAAAAATTTAATTGACACAAATAAAGCAAAATCCGTTTCAAATAAAATGATTCAAAGACGAAAAGTGCTATTACAGGTAATAATATAATAATGCTTTAATGCATAATCCATTTAAAGCATAATTGATTCCATTCATTCCATTCATCCCATTCAAAACAATCATTCATTTTATCTACATAAATAAATAAATAGTTGACTCAGCAACTATTACAAATAAGGAGATCTTCTAATCTTGATAAAGATGGTTTCCGTAAGTACCTAAAAATGGTTCAAGAAGAGTTTGTTATAAGGATGGAAGAGATTAAATAAATATTTAGATCATATGTTATTATGAACATAACAGACGTACAGAAGTACAAATATACAAATAAATATAAATATGTGCCATTTAACTTCTCGAATTGACTAATTGATTCTGACTAAAAATGCCGCTTAAATTTTTTGATAAGTTATCTCAAGATTTTTCTGAACTTCTTAATGAAAAAAAGAAATACGATGTTATTATTGAGATTGATAAAGAAGAAAATAAGAAATCTTTTACTGCTCACTCAGTTGTTTTATGTTATCGTTCTTCTTACTTTAATAAAGAGTTAGAGAACGTTGCTGTGAATGAAAATCACATTAAAACTATCATTATACCAAATATTTCTGCTCAAATATTCGAAATTATTCTTAAGTAAGTTAAGAAATTATTTATTATTTTAAATAAAGTAATTATATATATTAGTATTTCGCTATAGACGAAATATAATTAATATATTTCAATATAGATATATCTACGGTGGAATTGTTAACATTGAAAACGAAGAAACCGAAACTATTTATAAATTAATGATTGTTGCTAATGAATTAGAATTTGAAGAACTATCAAAAAAATTGGAAAATTACCTTATTGAATCCGAGGCTTCTTGGTTAAGAACCCACTATTCCCTTGTTTATCGTTTAATCTTTGCTGGTAATGAATTCAAAGATTTGAAAAAATTTTATAACGATATTATTGCAAAACATCCAAATTTAATTTTTGAATCTGAAGATTTCACTTCTCTCGAGGAAACAGCATTAGTTTCTCTTTTGAAAAGAGACGACCTACAAATGAAAGAAATTGAAATTTGGGATTATGTTATAAAATGGGGAATTTCACAAAATCTTACTTTACCTACAAATTTGGAAGAATGGTCTAAAGAAAATTTTATGACTTTAAAAACAACTTTACAACAATGTTTACCACTTATTCGATATTTTCATATTTCCGATAAAGATATTTGGAAAAATATAAAGCCTTATAAAAGAATCCTTGGAAAACAACTTTGGGAAGATTTAATTCAACATTCTATGTTTCCTGATCAACCCATTAAATCCATTATTTTACCATCAAGAAATATTTCAATTTCTGAATTACCTCCAAAAGTAAATGGATCATTTTCGACTATAATCAACGATGAACATTTAACAGAAATTTCATTATGGATTGATCGCGAATCAAATATTTATTCTTCAAAAAATATTCCTTACAACGTTCAATTAATTCTTCGAGGAAGTAAAGATGGTTTTGATCCTAAAACATTTTGGAAGATGTGTAATGGGCACGCTGGTACAATAGTAGTTGCTAAAGTGGCAGGAACTGATGAAATACTTGGAGGTTACAATCCTTTAGTTTGGGATAATTCAAAAATCAAAAATACTAAATTAGAAACAAATGATAGCTTTATATTTTCATTGAAAAATGGTAACATTAAAAAATCAATTCTCAGTCGAGTTAAAGATAAAAGTGGAGCTCTAACCTATTATAGTTCTGGTCATCAAAATACTCGTGGTCCATGTTTTGGTAATTGTGAATTTTTGTTGCATTCAGAAGTTTCTGATTTTACTCAAGACAAAGAGTGTTGGTGTTTTTATGATGATTATGCTTTTTATGAAAAATTGATTAGATCAAGTAGAGAATATTTTTCTATTGTGGATTATGAAGTATTTAAGATAATTAAAAAACATTAATGCATGATTCGCCAGAAACGGAAAGGATTTACATAATGCAAATTATATAAAAAACCTTTATTTTTTTATTTGTTTATTTTATTGATAAAATTAAAAAAAAAATGTTTAAATCGGAACTTTTGCTTCTTATGATATTAATGAAGAAAGGGACTTCAATAAGATAGTTCTTGTGATATTCTTATGATTGTGGTCCTATATGTAGATCTTTCGTTTATCATGAATCAACGAAAAAAATGCTGAATTAAAATGTAAAAAGATTAATCTTAATAGTTAGTCCAATAAAATCAATAAAAGCGAGAATTCAATTAGAAACGCGTTCAAATATTTTGATAAAAAATAAAGAAATCATATTTTCAATGTTCATTCCATTTTATGGATTCAATATTTAAATATTTTATACAAAATTTACAAGCATACATAACCATAAATAAATAAATATATATATATATATGCCTTTTCGGCGGTGTGTGTGATGCTAATTCTATAAAGGTTATATTAAATTGTATGCTTCGTTCCTGTAGAGATATACAGTATGCATTAAGATAAATCTATTCGTGAGGCATATATTGTTAATTTAATAAAATTTATTATTTTAAAAGCGAAGTAAAGTTATTGTGATTTGAATTCCGTTGCACAGAGTATACAGAGTATGTATCTATGAATTAGGCTAACCCAAATTGTAAACAATTACAAACAAGATTTAAATACATAATTTTATTTTTAGATGCTTGTTCAGATATCTGCTATCGTTTTGAAAATGATTATAGTATGTCTATTTCTTATATTTAAATAACTCTAGACTTTAAAGTAACCAAAATTTTACTTTTTAGCAAACCGAACAATCAACCAGCATTTCACCCCCAGCCACAAATGTAATAAATTTAATTGACTTCCGTAATCCGCAAATTCCCAATACCGATGGCTTAGCTAAAAGTGTTGAATTAGTTTTTGAAAATTTCAAAAAATTCTCAAATTATAAAAAAAAAGAGAATAAAGAGAATAATCATCATATTGAAAAAATCTTACAACACGCTCATGAATTCAATATATTGGTTCAAGAGTCAGTTCAACACTGTAAACAGGTTACAACTTATTCTAAAATTTTTGTAGAGTAAGTGAAATTAACTATGCGATGATGATGTTTCGAATATTTACTAAAATAATGAGACTTAAATAAGTAATTAAAAATTTTTAATTTGTTAGATATCTACAAGCCATGACAGAAGAAGATGTTACAGGCTCTGACTTTATCGAAGTCATGAAATCTCAAATTCAATCTGCCATGAAAAACAAATCAGATATTGAAAACGTTACTCAAGGTTTCAGTGAAATCTTAACGATGTTGGTAAATTTGGTATGGGATCTAGAAGATCATACGAATCAAACTAATATTGAACAGTTATTATCTGATGATGTTAATCGTGCAAGGAAAGAACAAAAGACTCGTGAATTTGCAGCATGGGGAACTGGAATTACTACTGGTGTTGCAATATGTGCGGCACCATTTACTGCTGGAGCATCACTTGCAATTATTGGTATTGAATATTAAATAATAATAATAATTTAATGAATTATCGAGCGATCATTTTTTTATTTTTTTTTTTTGTATTACAGGTGCTTTGGGACTTGCATCTACGGGTGCTTTAATAGGTATATATATATATTTATATTCTTTTATTTAAAAATTATTAAATATTTTAAAACGTGATTTAATTTTTCATTTTAAATAAATAGGTACATCAGTATCCGCAGTTAAAAGGGGAGAACGAGCTAATGAATCTGAAAATAAATTAAATCAAATCAATCAAATCCGAGAATATATTGAAGTTGTGACAAAAGAATTGTCAAAAATAATTGATGAATATAATGGATTTATTGAAATTTTTAAATCAGCGATAGAAGACATTACGAAAATTACCTCAAAGTATTCAACCGACGCGGAGAATGTGAATTTCAGAATGACAAGAATAAAGTATTTATCGATGAAAAATCAATGGGCTAGAGTAAATGAAGTATTTGAGACTTACAAAGATGATCTACAAAGAATATTAATGCAATAAAAATTTTATTGAATGGTAAGAAAGGGTTTATTCAATTTCTTGAAGTGAGCAAATATATAATACGTCAGTCATAAGAATTATTTTCTTCCTTTATTTAAAATAATAAATTTAAAATTTTCGTAATTTATTCATGAAAAAAGTATATTTAAACTGTGGCCAAAAAATTGTGTAACGAATTGCGTTTATTCTATGTATACCGCGATTTTTTTTTCTTTAAGCCTTTTATTAAACCCTTCTGCAAAAAAAAGTTTTCGTATGATATATTACTAAAAAGATCAAATATATAATTTTCTTCTTTTTTTTTTGTTCTTTGTATATGAATAAAATAATTAACTCTTGCCACGTGATAAGATTTGTACATAGATGTACGAATTTTGGATTATTCCATTTGACAAGTTATCTCAAGATTTTTCTGAACTCCTTAACGACAAAAAAAAAAAAATACAATATTATTATTGAAGTTGACAAAGGAGAAAATAAGTAATCCTTTACTGCACACTCAGCTGTCTTACGTTATCGTTCATCTTATTTTGATATATTAAAGTAATTATATAATTATATAAATCGTATTTCATTATATACAATACAAAATTAAAATATAATTGACATATACTTTTTTATGTAGATATATCTATGGTGGGATTGTTAACATTGAAAATGTAGAAACCAATACTATTAATACTATTTATAAATTAATGATTGTTGCTAATGAATTAGAATTT